ACCCAACCCTGGGGACTCTTATAGTCTTGTTCCACCGGGGGCAACCCCCCCTCTGGTCCCATAAACTGGGCCCAACTCAACCAGGGCAGCCAAAAAAAAAAAGCCCAAAGTGCCTTTTATTTAATTACACAGAGCTTCCTAGAAATGCTGCACTTGGGAGGATTTGGGAAGGGGGGAGACTGAGAGGGAGGGGTTGGGTCAGCCCGGCTCTGCAGTGACCCCTCTGCCAGACCCTGCTGGAGAATTTCTGAGGGACTTCCCTGGAGAGCCAAGAGCCAGCAGTTCCCGGCTTCCGCCTGAGCAACAATTGAAAATGAAGTTGCAATCTGGAGAAGGAGAGAGAGAGAGAGAGAGAGAGAGAGAGAAACAAATGCACACACTCAAGGTGCTTCTATTGCCAGTAATAAATGCATTTAAGGGTCTCGGAGAGTGTGCGAAGCCAAGCAAGGCTCCCCAGCAGCCTTTCAGAAAACAGCCTTGTTTAATTTGTTGTTTGATGGTATGGATTGGGAGGTGAAGCTCGGGGACTGCTGGTCTGGCGGCAAGTCCTCCAAGCATGTCTCAGGTGAGATGTGGGGGGGACACCACCCCTAGTCCTCTTGCCCTCCAGGTCAGCTGCCAGGATAAACACGGCTCCCCCTTCCTCCAGATTCACTCAAAGGCTGGGGACACCTTGGTTGCTCTGGCTTAACGCCCCCTGCCTGACTTTGCCCCATCCCCAATATCGTTGCTCTGGCTTAAACCCCCCTGACTTTTTCCTCCTTCCCACCATTGGACAACCGCTCCACAAACATGCATATATCTCACTTAAATCCATGCCATTGCATGGCTTTGGGGAGGAAGGCAGCCAAATCACTTGGAGTATATTTAAGGATAACAGGTATGTTTGATGGAGGGGGGGAATATAAATGTTGGAAAAGAAAGTATGTCCCTCTCACTCAGCCATGCCGTTTCCCTTCTTCATCCTGCCTCCCACCCTTCCCCCAGCCCACATCTCCCCACTGATTTCCCTGCCCTTCATTTTGCATTGCAGTTCTGCTCTTGTTGCGCGTTTGTCTTCTCCAAGGTTTAAATTATACAGCAGAACAGTTCCCCCCCAAATTTTAGATTTTGTCGAATGCTCCTGCCCTTCCCCCCCCCATAGGCTGGTCCTGCTTTGTCCATGGGGACCATCAAACCCACATCCACCAGCTCCCATCTCTGCAGCTCCTCACACATGGAGATGTACCATCTGGGAAGCCGTCGCGCTCCATTGGATGAAGTGGTGGGAGAGGGTGGGCTGTGCTGGCTTGTTCCAAGGCTGGGAAGGGATCCCTGCTTTCCAGTTAAGGGAGGTGGCATTTCCCACCCAACTTTCTCTCCCTGTCCAGGGCTGCAAAACCAGATTATCAGTGGGTATGTCCCGCCACCCTGACAGGGATCAGGTGAGTGGACAGGGAAGCGCGAGGACCCCCGAAATCTGGAGCCAGTGCATGTGCACCAGGCAGCTGGTCTTTGTGTGCACATGAAGGCCAGAAACCGGCAGACCACATGGCTGGTGCGCATGCACACACCAGAAACCAGATGATCATCTAGTTTTCAGTGTATGCGCTGCACACATACACACACATATTGGCACATGGGGCCAAAATGTTTCTGTACACTCCCGTTTTGGCACTCGGTGCCAAAAAGGTTCATCAATACTGGACTATATCAAGGATGGCCACACCTGTATTGTTCAGAGAAAAGAAAGATGACTCCTTTCACTTATGTGTTATTTACAAAAACCTTAATGCCATTTGCATGGAAAAACATGCACCCAATGCCGCTCATGAAGGACATGTTAGCCCAGTTGGACAAAGGGAAAATTTTCACAAAATTGGATCTCAGGGAAGCCTACTACAGAGTCAGAATCAAAGAGGGGGATGAGTGGAAAACTGTTTTCAACTGCCCTTTGGGATGTTTCCAGTTTAGAGGACTCCTGTTTGGACTGCAGGGGACGCCAGCAGTTTTCATGCAATTGATAAATGAAGTTTTGCATGAGCAGCTCTACAAGGGTGTGTTAATTTACCTTGATGACATCCTTATCTACATGGAAACACATGAGGAACATGTGACTTTGGTGCACTCAAAAAATTCCAGGCCACTGAACTTTATGCCAAATTGTCCAAGTGTGAATTTTACCAGGAAAGGATCGATTATTTGGGATACTGTATCTCCCACAAAGGTATCGAGATGGAGCCAGCAAAAGTCCAGGCTGTCACTGAGTGGGCACCTCCTCACACCCGCAAGCAGCTACAAAGTGTTTTGGGATTTGTAAATTTCTTTAGCCAATTTACCCTCTCTTTCACGAGCATTGCACTACCAATTACAAATCTCCTAAAATCAAAGGGAGAGGTTAAACCTAGGCCGGGTAAGCCTCTGAACTCAACTATGGAATGTCAAGCAGCTTTCGAGAAATTGAAGCGATTATTCACTGCTGAACCTGTTTTAAAACACACAGACATGGATGCACCATTTGTGGTTCAAGCTGATGCCAGTGATGTGGCAGTGGGGGCAGTATTGCTCTAAACAAATGCAGAAGGCAAATTGTAACCTTGCGCTTACAGCTCACATAAGGTTACAGAAACAGACAGGAGGTGGGCCATTTGGGAAAAGGAATCTTTTTCCTGTTAAATGGGCTTTGATGACCTGGTGACATTTTCTGGGGAGGGGGGGGTGAAACACCCTTTTGAAGTATGGACTGATCATAAAAACTTGGAAGCATTGAAGACCCCACATAAGCTATCACCTAAACAAATGCACTGGGCCCAGCATTTCAACCGGTTCAACTTTACCCTGAAATACATCCCAGGAGGGAAAAACTTTACAGCTGATGCTTTGTCCAGCCTTCCCCAATACAACAGCACCAGACCAACCATGGTTCATCCAGTCATCCCAGCTAAAAACCTGGTGGCCCCAATGGTTACTAGGAGCCAGGGCCCAGTGGACTTAGATGTGACCACAGACCTAATGGACAAACTTAAGAGAGCTCTCACGTCCGATGACTGGTTCACAAAATATTCTGATGAATGCACCATGAAAGATGGACTGGCTTGGGTGGGAACTAAACTGTATTTTCCTGCCAGCCTAAAAACTGTTGTCCTTCAATGGGCCCATGACTCGAGAATGGCGGGTCATTTTGGATTTGTAAAAACGTTGCATTTGATTAAGAGGCAGCTTTGGTGGCCTTCCCTGAAAAAAGACATTGAGTCCTACATATCCAGTTGTCCTGTCTGTGCTGCCGCAAAAAACCACAAAGGAAGCCCCAAGGTCTCCTTCAAAGTGTTGCCCGTCCTGGGGCCCCATGGAAGAAGATATCAATGGATTTTATTGTCAAGTTTCCAGAAAGCCTTGGAAATACTATCATTTGGGTAATCACCAATCTGTTCCCCAAACAGGTTCATTTTGTGCCTTGCTCTATGATCCCATCAGCAAAGTCATTGGCTAAATTGTTTATTTTACATATATGTAGACTACATAGAGTGCCTGAACACATTATTTTGGACGGGGGGTCCAATTCACCTCCCACTTTTGGAAAAAGTTGCTGAAATTGATTGGCTCCACTGAAGGACTAAGCTCCGCCCACCATCCACAGACTAATGGGGCTTGTGAACAGGCTAACTTGGTTCCCAAGCAATACCTTTGGTGTTTTATCAATTACCAACAGGATAATTGGGCTGAACTTTTGCCACATGCAGAGGTGGCGTACAATAATTCAGTACATAGCATTACCAACATGACCTCTTTTAAAGTTTTGTTTGGCCAGGATTTTGTACCGATTCCTGAATTGCCTCAAGAGAAGCCTTAAATTTCATCCTTATCTGAGTGGAGCTTCAACAGTTCTGGCCAATGACTCACAAAGCCTTAGACACGGCTCACCATGCTCACAAAAAGCAGGTGGATAAAAAAAGGGCTAAGCCAAAAAAAAAAAAAAANCACAGATGTGCCAACATGTCTGTCTTATTAAATTGGAACTTTAAGGTTTGCTCTGCCTTGGACTCTGATTTAATTCTGCATGATATTTGGAACGCTGACAGTAATCTTCGCTACTGGTTTGAAACTGGGAGTGTGCTTGTGCATGGCAGTTCTGCACATGCGTAGAGCGTCTGTGATGACATCTGGGCCAGTTGACGGAGCCTCCTGCTGCTGCCACTACTGGTTCGCCTGAACCCGGGCTAACCAGCAGAATACCACCTCTGATGTGCAGTCAGAACCCAAAGATGACATATAATGTGGCCCTTTATTGAATCAAAACTATACAATTGATAATTGTATATGTGGATCAGATTGGGATAAATTGTATGGATGACTCCGAAATTTAATTTACATTTTTCTTTTTCTTATGTCTTCTACTCTGTTTTCTAACTAATGTTCCTGCTTGAGTAGGGGATTGGGCTAGAAGACTTCCAGCTCTATTCTGATTGATTGATTGATTGAGCATCAAATTGCAAAACAAATATATGAAGGGAAAGGGTAAGACTGAGAAAATTGTGGCTAAATAGAATTGTTAAGATTTTCAAAAATAGAGGTATAAAAACAAAAGCGAATGTATGAATATGTTAAAAGCAAAAATTATCTCAAAAATAAAAGATATAGAAAGGGACAGTGAATATTTTAATGTAAACTGTATGTAGTTAATTTATTTTTATGACCTCACTTTAATATCCTTTGTACTAATTCATTTTTGCACTCCTTGTAAAGTTGCTTGCACCAGAAACTAATGTCATGAGGGATGAATATGCCTGCTAAAAAAATCAGAAAGGTGGTGTGGGTAGGTTGCTAAGTACTTTAACAATTTATTAAACTGTCCTTGCTAAATCGAAAGGCAAAGAATAAATAAAATCAATAAAGAAAGTAGTTTAGTGATACTCTCAGAGGACTTCATAAGCTGCAAACGATCCTAGCATATCTTCCAGGGCACATTCTTACAGTGCTGGGTCTCTGTGCCTTCCTGGGTCTCACCGTTGTCCTTTTGTCTATGCTCCTTGAAGTATTAGGCCTTTTTGTGTGTAGTTGGCTGTTTCAGATCTCACTGCAGAACTCTAGACTTTCTAGAAACACAGCTTGAAACTATATATAAGGAATCAGAAAAATAACAGGCCTCCCAACCCCCATCCTTGGCCATCCAGAAAATCTCATGTCTTTTTTTTTTACTAAAAATAATAATTCACACCCGTTATTGGAAAAAAAATTCTCAAACTAGAATTCGAGAAAGGAACTCTGAATTTTTTTTGACAAAACACAGCAGAATTAAGGCACCTCGATTAAATTTGTTATTTCATTTACAAGGCTATATGTAATATTAAAATATGGAAGAATAAGCAAATAAGGTAATTAAAAATGACAATTTACAAACAACCCCATGTTAATAATGATTAATAGTATCTTTTATATATATATATATAAATATAGTATTAATAGTATTAATACATAGCCTTATAGATAAACATTTTCAAATGAATTCTAAATTTTATATTACTTCCCAACAGAAGTAATTATTCAAATAAGGTTGTTTTTTATTTTTAAGGAAAATGTTTCAGAAACATTATAGTTGTCTTCTGTACATAAATGATATAATGGAGATACACATACATATATTCTTTTCAGGTTATTTAATATACAATGGCTCAGAAATAAGATCCACCAAAATCAATGGAACTTATCTGTGTTTGCATACTTTCAGAACATCTACTCTAATCAGTTATTCATAGAAAACAGATAATTCTAAATTTATTTTTTCTAACACATAAAGATTTGTGAGATTTTATTCAATAGCGAGTACTATACCCTAATGCGAACACATGAGTTAGTAAACAATTTTCCCTTGTTAATTTTTTAAAATTTGTTTAAATTTTTCAAAGCTTTTTCAGTTCTCTTTCTGTGGATTTTGTCTTCTTGTGCCAGGTCTGACAAGTCTTGTTTTTCTCCGTAGTGATCCTGTTAATCCAAAAATAAATCAGTTAAGGTTATTTTATTTATTGTTTTATCAGTTATTCATAAAAATATATCAAAATACATTAATTATGATTATTACTGCTTAAAATAAAAACATGCTTATAACAATAATAATAATACACATAGCTAGGATATATATGTTCAAAAGTTGGTATTCTTCCTTCAATATCCATTAGTGATATTGATTCAAAATTGTTAACTCTTTCTTCAGTGCTTTATTGCTTCATTCTTTGATATTATATGTTCAAGCTAGTATAATGCAAGTTCATATTTTGTGTAAATGGATTTAACAAATTTCTAAATATTTAATATTATTATATTTTATAAAGTAATTCACTTAAAGAATCTTGCCATTTTTTAATTAGAACACATTTTGCCTTTTTTTAGTTAAGCATAGTTAGAACAAGTTAATACTAGAAACTTCTTCGTACCTTGTGCCCTTCTAGATGACTGTACTTTTCTTACTGGGATGTCTAAAAAATGTTGAAACCAATATCTTTTATTATAAACATTTGAAAATAATAAGAGGTTCAAAAGTTCAATTTTCTGACTGTACAGTATAGGCGGGAAAGTTCAAGCAACATGGCAGTAATTATTAGTTCTCTAGATTCTGTCAACAATGCTAAAATGTTGATGTAACCTACTATTGAGTCAACATTGCAACAAGATAAAGATTTAAGTTTTTTATTTCATCCAGATTTAAAAGATTTAATCCATACTATGCAAAAAATAAAAGGGGAAATAATGCTTTGTATCTATAAATAAAATTTATTGTAGCATACACATCAGTTTAGCTATAGGAAACACACACACACACACACACACACAGACAGAGAGAGAGAACATGAAAAAATTTCTAAAGCCTCTCATTTAGGGTAAAGACATAGGGAAGTTTAAGGCATTTTTTAATCATTTTAATCAGCAATCTTATCAGAAATACTGTTTTTTCTAGCTTTTACCATAACCACCTCCATATAGATAATTAATACCCCAAGGAAAATAATTACAAGAATAATTTCATTTATTGTATGACTGACCTTCCAGATGAATTTTCTTTATTTCTGTTTCAATAATCTGTGGCTCTCCTTCAATCCTTTTAGTAACTTTAGTGTACTCAGATCCAGCTATGATAAGCATTAAAAAATAATGGTTAACATAAGGAGAATATTTTTGGCAGAAGTGTGATCCGGGCATTAAATCCTGAAATCTTACTCAGAAGATTGATGCAGCGATAGTCAGGAAGGAATGACAAATGTCTAAACATTTTCTTAGAAATGATCATTGAGTCTTCTAGTCTAGGACTGGTAGTTAAGCATAGAAGGTCAGCTGACTGAAGTAGAATAGAATAGAATTCTTTAGTTAATTAAGTAATTAAGGCACAAGCTAGAAATCAATATAGTTTTAGTCCCATCTTAGGGACAATGCCACCTGGATGACTTTGGGTCAATCAACCCTAGGAAAGAGGCAATGGCAAAATACTTGTGAAAAACCTTCTCTCTCTCACCCCCCCCCCTCTCTCACACACACCATTTATCTGATGCATTCATATGCAATGAGTACACAGCTTTTTCGCACAGCTTGCAAGGTTTTATGTTGCTATACACAAAGAATAATTTCTTTGTGTGGAATTTTGGCCTAAACAATTCTGGATAGTATCGCAAATATCTATAGGCCAAGTGAAATTTGGTATATTAAATTGCTATATGACTGCCTAATATATCTATAAAGGCTTCAGCTGCACAAAAGAGGAAAGTTTCTAGATGGCAGTAAAGATTCTACCTATAGCTTACTATAGATAGAGAAGTCTGAAATCTGTGAAAGCCAAAGCATGAACGCAACTATTAAGAACAGAGACTGAGGTATCTTCATTTTTTGTATTTATATTTGTTACATACTGACAGACAGTATGGTAGTTTCCACCAAGGTCCTCTGATCCGGCAGGAAAATACTAGATGATGATTGGCTAAGATGTTTGACAGCACCTATAAAAGGAAACGCTGTCAAACAGAAGATTGCTGGATTGTACATAGTTTGCACTAATAAAGAGCTGTTGTTACTGTTAGCCTGAGCTGCCTCTTCCATTCACCCGATCTAACACTGGTGATGAAGTTGGGATTGGAAGGCAACTAGGCACAAAAAGAGCTGACTGACAATCCAGCAAAACAATCCAGTCTGGAGCTAAGCGTGGCATCAAGCGGCCATCTTTAAGCGCAAATTCGAATTTGCCTTGACTGAACAAGATGACGACGCACACCCCACCAGCTCCTTACAACCCAGCAACCGAGCATTGGGACTCATATACGATGTGGTTCAAATGTTTCCTGGAAGCTAATGACCTTCTTGGCCTCTCTGAGAACCGCAAGAGAGCCATGTTCCTGAGCTACTGTGAGCCAGAGGTATTCGACACTGCCCTATAAAATGTTCTGCCAAACATAAGGTTGATGGATTGTACATAGTTTGCACTAATAAAGAGCTGGTGTTACTGTTAGCCCGAGCTGCCTCTTCCTTTCACCCGATCTAACAGTATTTGATAGCATAATGAGTCTGAATAAGTTTTAGCAATCATTTTATGCTATAAAAAGTATTTCAGTACATGAAAACAGAATTATTAACAGGAGCATTTTAGCAATGCGGGCAAGCAGTTCAACTGTTTTAAAATCAGTCTGCTATTCATAGCTTGCAATCTAAGGTAATATATGTTTTACCTAAATTCAACAAGAGTTAATTCACTCATTTAAATGCAGAATTGTCATAAATATGTGGAATACATGCATTTTGGTTCTTAAAACGTCTTTTTAAAAATCAGTAACATACCTACATAATGATTCGTTCTTGTCCTGTCCTGCTAGAAAGATGTGTTGACATTCTTTTGACCTGGTGAGTTTGCCCAGGTAAAAATAAGGAGGTGGAAGTAAAGGAATACTGCCATTTTAACTCATAAATTTACCAATGACCTCATTGCTTTAGGAGGCTAAATGTTCATTACAGCGGGGGAAGGTTATTTTCATCAATGGACTTTTTTTTAAGCAATAACAAGAAAAATAGATTAGTTATTTGGAATGTATATCTAAACATACTTGAGATGACAGTATCTCCGTTGTTAAATTTTGTTTTGCAACTAAGGTAATGCATTAGTTGTAAATCTTATCTACTGATAGTTACACATAGATAATAACCCTTTTCATCTTTTATAGAAGTTTAAAAGTTACATGCTGTACAGTGGTGGGATCCTANCGCACCTCTGCACCTGACCGGAACTAGATGGGTGGAAATGCCAGCATGGCAGTGGAAGATTGGACCATGTGATGGACTTGTGGGTGTGGGGGCAATTGTGAATTTTCAACCAGGTGGAAACTCCAGGAAGCTTTCAGATTCGGGTTTCCCACAGAAGTTCCAACATGTCTCTCTTATTATATTGGAACTTTGAGGAAAGCTCTGCCTTGGACTCTGCCTTGATTTAATTCTGGACGATATTTGGAATGCTGACATTAACTCAAATCTGCCTTAAAATAAACCAGCAACCCCAGCACGGGGTGCTGGCGAGCGGTGCTGACTCCCAACATTGACCTGACCTGGTCAGAGTAAAATATCAGCAAAGATGAAAATCAAGCCTTTGAGAATGGAAACAGAGGACAAGACGCTTCTCTGTGAATCTTCCAAAGTGCAAACAAATTTGTGTGGGAAGAAATTGGAAGATTTATAGCATCTGGGAAGATGCAGACGGAGGGGGCTGGAAAGGTTAATTCCACACACACATGGCAAGATGATTAGAGCCTCCCAGACCAACCTGTGTAGCTACACTCACTACAAATGTGAGAGGATGTTCCCCCTCCTTCCCCATCCAAGGCTCGGAAAAAAGCCTGGAGTGGAGATTTTGACTCCTTCCAAACAGCAATAAATGAAATGATCCATTACCCTGCAACTGAGATGAAGACAGATTCCCTATCAATATGGGGAATTCAAACCAGTCAGCAGAAAGGGGCTTGGGCCATATCTCCCCCTAGCCAGCAAAAAATGTTGGGGTTGCAGCCTGTGAATCAAGCACCACCAGATTGGGCTTTCTTCCCAGGTCATGGATGGAAGAGATGCTAGTGGGCACCTGCTCTCCCTCAGCAGGTGGCACCATGGCAGATAACTGGGCAGTGGCCCACCCAGGGATTGACACCCCCCACACACACAAGTCTAGTCTCACCTGCAATGCCCCAACAGGTTCTTACCCCACCTTCCTACAGAGAAGAGTTCTCAACATGGAAGAAGGGATGAATGAGGGGGAAGCTGCAGGATGGATAGCAGAACAATGTGATGAGGCGGCTCCTAAGTTTAAAGATGCAACTGGGTTCCGTCCCTTGGGGGGGCAATAAAATGCTGCCATTGCTGTCAACTTGGCTACAGAGCATCAGAGTGCCTGGCTCCAGCCTCAATATCAGAAACGTGTGCACCAACTGCCACAGCGGTAAAGAGAAGGCCCCAGGTGCCACCAGAAAAAAGTCATCTGGGCCAATAACCTCAGAAAGAGGATCCCCAACCTAAGGTGACAAAGAGTCCTACCAATGGGGAGGCCTCAGAGAAGGAAAATGCCGAAGATGACCCAATGGTGAGTACACCCATCCGTCCCTTCGCCTTCCAAGCCAAGCTCCAAGTACCCAAAACAGGGGTGGAAGAGGAGGTTGAAGCAGTTGTGGACACCGGTTGCACTCGATACTTAATCAGCATGTCAATTATCAAGCAACTAGGCATATGCACAAGACCTCTAGCCTGTCCCATTTGGGTTGAACAGATAGATGGAATGTTAATTTGAGGGGTCCCAGCCACACTAATAACTGAACTGGTGAAGTTACAAGTGGGCTGCCACTATGAACTTGTCAGATTCATTGTGGCTCCAGAGATGCCGGAATCAATTATCTTGAGGCTTGCATGACTTGACAAGTGGAAGCCTACGATAAAGTGGGAAGACGTTGGTAGGAAATTGATGATTACATTTGGGCCGCTACCACCGGTGGAGGAAAAGGGCCAGCCAGGGATGATTGAACCCAAGAGTCCAGAACCTGCAGCACCTGCTCCAGAGACAAAAACCCCAGGGGTCCAACAAATACCCAAAAACTTGTTAGGGGATGTTTTGTCGAGAAAACCGCAGTATGACAGTAATGGAAGCCAGGATAAGCTGATGACAGCTATGAAATTGGTGCTCCCAANCCTTATCTGAGTGGAGCTTCAACAGTTCTGGCCAATGACTCACAAAGCCTTAGACACGGCTCACCATGCTCACAAAAAGCAGGTGGATAAAAAAAGGGCTAAGCCAAAAAAAAAAAAAAAAAAACACCAAGTTGGGGAATAGGGTTTTTTTGTCCACTAAATTTCTACAAAGCTCCCAGAAGTCAAAGAAACTGGGTCCGAAATATGTGGGTCCATTTTACATTGTGGAAATCATTAATCTGGTGTCAGTAAGATTGGAGTTGCCAAAAACCCTTTGGAGGATTTATCCTGTTTTTTATGTGAACTTACTGAAACCTGAGCACAACTCTTCCATTCATCTACCTCAAACCTCACCCCCTGTTCCTCTTCTTATTGAGGGAAAGCAACATTTTGAGCTTATGGAAATTTTAGATTCCAGAAAGCATAGAGGTCACATTCAATATTTGGTGTCCTGGAAACATTTCCCCCCCCCCTCCCAATTTGAATGGGTGGCTAAATCCCATGTCAGGACTCCTAGACTTTTACAGAAGTTTTATACCAAATATCCTGATAAGCCTTGACTTCCTTTTGTTATTGTTATTTTGTGTTGTTGTTTTTTCTCCAAGGATGATATCCTTTTCTGAAGGAGGGCCGGATGTCAGCCTCTGCTTTGCTTATTTGCTATCCGCTTCCATAGAAATGGTGGGGATGGTATTTGGGAGGGGAATAAATGGTAATGGAGGTGATATGATAAAGAGAGTTTTCTTCTCACCATCTTCTGTGCATGCTGATGGCCGGTGTTTGCATCTGGTGCAGCCTAATGGCTAGTGTCTCTCCATGACATGGGGGCTCTAAAGCTGAAAGACCTGGACACTTTCATGCAGGCATTGTGAGACAGATTCAAAAACCCCACAACAGCAGGCATGCAGAGACCCACATCCACTCCCTACAG